AAACAAAGCTAGCTAACATGCCTTTACCATTGTCTATCAGTACACTAAGTAGCATCAGTAGCACAGATTTGCACACCTTTAAGAAATTTAAGGCATTCCTCATTGCCAAGCCTCCATTTACCTTTAAATATTGCCTATACACCTAAGGATGTGAGCAGGATGTGGGACTGAGTCAAAAAGCATCAAGCATTCCAGCAAGGGCTGCTTGAGCATTCTTGCTCAGCAGCTGTGAAACACCCATCCCATCTATGGCAAAAGCTGCAGAGCTCTTACTGCAGAGCAGGAGCACGCACACAAACACTTCCTAGGAGTTATTCAAGCTCAGAGAGAAAGTTAAATGACTGCTCATAATCTAAAAGCATCTATGAATCAAAGCTGATTTAATTAAAGCAGCTGCCTGTGCACCCAAACATAGAAGCACCGATTCAAGCTAAGTGGGCAGAATACACTGAAAATTAATTGACTTTTCGATTTTTATAAAAATTGAAAAAGATTCAATTCCACACCCGAAGAATAAATACAGCTGTGAGTGACAGTGCTAAGAGTTCTCATTTCCAATTACAAATTTTTGCACCTTTTAAGCAATTATAATCACATTTTTGCAGCTCACATGGGAACACAGACCCCGGAATTAGCCAACTGTAGCTTTCTTGGCAGAAAATCATGGTCCTGTAATACAATATCCAAGAACTGTTCCCTTTCATTGGTGACTATGCCATCCCACTGCTGTTCAACACCACCACCTGAGCTGTGACCTAAGCACGCAGTACAGCAGAAGTTCACTCCCAATCAAACCTCCTACAACTCGTTTGTTGTGGCAGTCCTCAAGGAGACAGCACACAGCAGCAAGCTCAGCCCAGTGAATCAGGGTGGATTCATCATGCTTTCAAGTACCTGTACTTCAAATGCACAGCAGGCTCATTTGCACACAGCTGGCACTGGGCTGCCTTCTCCAGGCTTTACCTCAGCATTCACATTTCCATAGGCTCAGACAAAAAGAAAAAGGACTCACCACTATCTTCTGACCTTCTTTTTTTCCCTCCTTGTCTTTGAGAGTTAATCAGTAACCAGAGATCTCTGCTAACAGTTCGTGCTGCTGATCTCAAGGTCCCACGGCCCACAAAGCTTTAGAAGATTCTGTGCATGGTTGAATACATAGCCATACATACAGCAAATTCTCTGCCTTCACATCTGAGCTTCCTACACTATGAACAAGGAGTATTTCACATCCTGCAACACTGTATCTGCAGCTCTCTAAACCAGCCCCAGCTTGCTTATCCAGGTGGATAAGAACACTTCAGGAGGTTAAGAGAAATAAAAAAAAGCAAGACACTTCTCATGAGACGGTTACTGAGCTTCTCACTCTGGTAGTCCACATCAGTTTTCAACCTCAAACAAGCACCTTAAGGTCCTAATGCTTTCATTTTAAAAGTTGTCACCTCCTAGGGTTGATAACACGATATTCAACGTGGCCACAATCATAAAACTGCACATGGTGAGCTGCTTCATCTTCGTCCAATACTGAGATCTCAGCTAAAACTGAACACTTAAACCTTAAATATCTCAAAGAAACCCTCAGTAAGTCATAGATAAAACGGTTAAATCCTCCTGGTGAAATGCCCTTTCCTTCTAACTGCTCAGCTTTCAAATTCGTAGAATATTATTTTATCATTTATCTGGTTTGTTACTCCTCAGTCCAGACAGCCCCACAGTCAGAAAAATGAACAACAACAAAGCCAACATGCGAGGCATCTTTCAGCTTGATAAAGAAGCTGAGGAGGCGACAGACAAAAGCTTTCTTCACTTCTGCTTTGATTCTAAGTTACATCACATTCAAGACTCCTTTCACCGGTCTCTCAGTGAGACAACAGGGCAAAACTTTTGTCACTCTTCCTAGCCTGTTTCTTTGCCTCTGCCCACACTGCATTGCAATTGCTCAGCCAGCAGGAAAAAGACAACCTGACGTTGTATAAAAAGAGCACACTACACACCATACATCAAGTTTCACCTCTAAAACGTTATTCCCCACAGCAAGCAATACAGCAGTGCACCACGTCCTTCGCTGTAACGGTGCATTAATAATAATTGCTGTCTGTTGCTTTCTTAGCAAGCCCACCACAAAATCTCAGTCAATGACTGCCATTCTATTCAGGATAAAACCGTTAAAATGGAAGAGCACGTGACATAAGAGAGAAGTGGAATTTATGCAAAGAGTTGGCAGTACTTAAGCAAAACTTGGATATCCTCATAAACCAGCACTACACAGTAATTTGTGTTACTTGAATCATGCTTCTCTTTCCTTCTATTTCAACCTGATGTGGCAGGAAGTAATTAGCAGGGATGTGTTGCCTTGCATACAGCTGGAAAGAATTAATCTAGCATTTCATTTGCGGCATTGTCCATTTGGAAAACCATTTCTTCCTGCACATACAACAGTTTGTTTCACATTCAGCTCTAGAGATTAGCATTTCCTTCTTTATCTGTTACACAGCAATATTTGACGGGAGCCCAGAGCAAAAATATCATCTTCACGAAGGCTTTGCTACTTCTGCAGGAAAAGTGTTACATGATTTTTTTTTTTTTAAACAAAAAGATACAAATAAGCCATCCAGAAAACAATTTCAAAGGGAGACTTGAAATTTAATATTATGTACTACAGATTAAATAAAACCATTCATTTTGTTATTTCTTTTCTCCCCCCTCTTTTCTATTGAGAACTATGATTCCCGCAGATAAAGAACCGACTTTCTGCCATCTGTTTTTGCTGTGTGCAAAGCACACAGGTCTTGTTTCTGGTTCTAAGTAAAAACTGGTTGGGAGAACAAGGGATGCCCCCAGCCATCAGACACTTATTTTTTGTGGGAGAAAAGGCCACAAAGAACAGCTGGGGATTTTATGAGAAAGACAAATAAGTGACGCTCTTACGCTTTTAAACATTAACTTCAGTAAGGCTTGGAGGAAGATCTACAAGGCCCTTCAGAATGGCAGGCCTCAGAGAAACACTCACACTCGGCCACAGTGAGAAAAAGTTCCCTGGGGAATCAAAACAATTAAGGTAATTGAGCTTTCCACAGATTTAGTATTACAGTTCTAACATTTTTATGGATGCAGTTTCAAGCTCCACGACAAAACATATCTGTATGTCTATACGCACACACATACACATAGGGCACTTCCTTATCCTTTTGCTATGCTGTGTTAGCTTTGGGTTATTAAAGGAACTGAGCGTGCAATCCAACGTGGACCAAGATACACAGATGATACAAGTTGAAGAAAGAAAACAGATCTTTCTTTAGCAATGCCAGAGTTTAACTGTTGACACTGTATTTCTACTGGTAACAATCTCAGAATACTGTTTAAAAACGAGACGATATTCTTTCAGACTCATTTTGGCTCATCATTTGAGACAGGAACGCCGGGTTTAAACAACAGGGGAGACAACAAAAGACAGAACAAAGTCCCTCCTGTCCAAAGCCTCAGAAGACAAAAGAGCCAGATGTACCAAATTCACAGACCAGAAGTTATAACCCTTGATGAGAAGACGTGTATCAGCTCGTGATATGTACACATATTCCTACTACTATTCCTCGAAGGCCAAGGAACAGTGATCTGACACGAGTTTGCCAATAAGAGTTGGCACAACTGCATCCCAACCAAAAAAAAGACACAAAAAGGAAAACAAAGTTCAAACACAATCACGATTTTTGTGAAGGTGACAATTTTCAATATCCAAAGTGCTGCCTTTATTTTTAAACACTGGACACTGCAAAAAAAAAAAAAAATAATAAAAAAATAAAAAAGCATTATCACTTTACAGCTGTGCAAGCAACACAAGAGAAGGTTTATAATTATTTGCCCAAGGCCTGGATTTTCCAGCGAGCACTCACAGGTTTAGAGGGACAGCAGATGCCACCTTTGTGCTCCTGTGTTTGGTCACTGCCCAAGAGCTTCTAGGAAGGATTCAATAGTTGACCTGTGGGAGCAGCTGGATTAAAACCCAAGCACTCCTACTGTATAGCACACGCAGCTTTGCTTCTCAGCAGGAGCACTTGCATGAAAAACTTCAGTATTCCTCTCCAGCTTCCATTACCCTAACAAAACCCTTAAGATAATTTCATCCCTTGCATAATGGATGCTGGATCTAATGTCATACAAGGAACCTCCTCCTCTTCAGCACTTCTTTGCCGCAGTTATGAAATACATGCTTTCTGCCATACAAAAAGCTAACTGGCAGCACCACAATCCTAAGTAAAGAGGAAACTATAGTTTCGACATTTGTCATCTAAAATAAAGGACATATTACAGCATGAAAGAACACTAATCGCACAGCACAACTGAAAGGAAACCACTATCTAATAAGTTCAGAGGTTAAACACCATGAGTTTCAAAATAACAGTTTTTCTGGATTGCCACTAGGAAGGGGACAAGTATGAAACACAAATATTATTTTGTTAAACCAATATGTAACTCATAAGTGTGGAATTCATTCTCCATGACCTGTTTGTCTTCAGAGGAGGGCGAATCACAGAGAAGGCACACACACAGCCCAGCTCCGAGGCTGAACGCATGCAGGATGCTCCTTTGGAAGCGCTGCTGATGAGCACAGCCCCTGACAGCCCTTTGCCAAAATCAGAGCACACGGCACTCCGTGCTCACAAAAGATGCTTCCAGGGAATTTGTGCTCATCAGCATTATTCTGTGCACGTAGGAGCCACCTTCAACGGCTTTTACTTTAATGAAACCTTACTACTGTAAAGGGCAGAGAGGGCACGAACACATTTACACTACACTGCAAGTGAAAGTGGTAATGAAAGAGAAAGCAAATAGAGTACCTTCCTCCCTCCGTACTCAGAGACTCTTCCCCCCCACCCGCTCCCCCAAAGAGTAAAGGAATCCCCCAGTGTCTCAAGATAACCGCTCGAACCTTACAGGCAAGGACACGTCCGCTCCTCGTCCTGTAATCATCCTCCCCCCCACCCCTTCTCCAGTTGAGCACTTGCCTCTCCTCCGTGCCCATCAAATATCCCGAAGATGGAGGGATGAGTCTTGTTCACCAGGTCGGTGATTACTTCGAACCTGTCCTCCATGTGATCCCTCCGGCCTTGGATGGAATAGACAGCCACGTTGTGGCTCTTGAACTCCCAGGTCTTGGAGAACTCGGCATCCAGCACGTCCAGTCCCCCGAGCCTGTCATTCTGCATGATCTCGGCCACCTTGCCCTTCACCATCTTCACCGCATCCCTGCTGGACTTAACAATGGTTTTCACCTCATCCGTGTGGAAGAAATAACTCCACAGAGCCAGGCTGATGCACAGCAAGAACAGGGTCTCCGGTCTGAGCAAGAAGTAACGCATGATCCGACCCAGCAGAGACAGCAAAGTCATTGTATCCTCTATCATTTATTATCGAGACCGTGTATCCCCACACCATGCAACGCGCTCCCGGCGGACGGGACGGGCTCGAGGCGAGGC